CTTCATTTACTTCATCAACTGTGTCTTGTAAGTAGAATCTAGATGCTTATCCCAAAGATGCATTGCTTCCTCATACATGGGAACAAGCTGTAGAAGCCCCACATGATATGTGTTCTTAAAGGGTGGTCTTGTGGCAATGCGACCAGGCACAAGGAGCCTCAGGCCTGGTCGACACTACAGCAGAAGGTCAAATTAAGATACTCAACTACAGCTACATTAATTACGTAGCCAGAGTCGACGTATCTTAAATCGAGTTTCTGCACCGTCCCCACAGCGGGAGGTCGATGGGAGCAAACGCTCCTGTCAGCTTCCCTCACTCCTCATAAGGAGTAGGAGTCTCAGCACCAACGAGGCCCCCTCTGCATTCGATTTAGCGAGTCTATACTAGACCCACTAAAGCGAACCCCGGAAGATCGATCGCGGCAGCGTCAATCTTCTGCGGGGTGTAGATGTGCCCTCAGAGAGTTGCACCCCCTGTTAAATTTCACTTGAAGGTGGGTGCCTAACTCCCTTATGTTCATTTGAAAATGGCAGCCATATTCTCTGGAGGAAGTGACCTAACAGTTCAAACCCCAAAATGGAACCCAGGATTTCTGGGTTCAGTTGCCTCTTCTGCCACTTTGTGTCCTTCACTGGTTCACTTAGGGCCAGGTTTTCAAATCAGTGCCCACCTAAGGAATGTGGCCAGAGTCTCAGGTACACACCACGCGGCATCTGCGAGTTCCCACCTGGGCTTCTGGAAATCACTTTTCATTATCTGACCTCATTTTTGCGGACGGAGCATTTTTGAGCCTGTGACCCTGAAACTTTTCAGGCCTTAGTCCCCCTGCTGTAGAACAGGTTTGTGATCTTGCCCGGCCTCCCAGACTAGAGGTAGGAATAAATTCATTACCAACTGTGAAGTGCTCAGATGTGAAGGTGATGAGGGGGCCATATAAATATCTCTTGTTGCAGCCTCCAAATCAAGTTGGCTCCGATTTAGAGGTAAATGATCTTTTTTTTTTTTCCAGCTGCTGGGGCAGCCAAGTGAGATAATATCTAGCTGACAAAATCCAGCTGCTTCTCACATCATCCACAGCCATAAAGACGATGACTGATGATTCTACGGATGATGCGTGAGGCAGACCAGAATCCATAGAGTTCCTGCACAGATGCACTTGATTGGAATTGCCAACAAGAGTGAATCCCTGTGTGTGGCCAAAAATATCCACAGATCTGGTGCTGAGAAAAAAAAGAGACTATTTTTATGTGTAGTTGCTGTCCTGAGCACAAGAAACTCTAGAAATGTAATTGTATTCTTTGGGTGTGTCTAGACTCCAGGGATTTTTCGAAAAAAGTGGCCTTTTTTCAAAAAATCTTTACCTGCATCTAGACTGCTGCTGCATTCTTTTGAAAGTAAATTGAAAGAATGCGACAGTTTTTTCGACCATGGAAAACCTCGTTTTACGAGGAATAACGCCTTTTTTCGAAAGTGCTCTTTCGAAAAAAGACGCTATGTAATGCAAACTGTGCTTTTTCGAAAGAGAGCATCCGGACTGCCTGTGTGCTCGCTTTCAAAAAAGCAGCTTGCTTTTTCGAAAGTCCTGGCTGTAGTCTAGATGCTCTTTTTCGAAAAAGGCTTGCGGTGTAGACGTAGCCTTTGAGAAGGGGAAAAAACTTTGTGTGATTGCATTGTAATTATACTGTAGTTACATTAAGTATTTACCATTTATTCATGGGATGAGAAGTTATGTTACAGAATTACATTTTATCATCTGTTTAGATTGCATACACTATATGCGGATTTTTAGCTTTCAGATACATTAGTTGCATTGTATTTACATTATAATCACCTACTTGGCCATATAGTTAAACTTCCAGTTTTGCAAATTTAGGGCTAATAATAGGTGTAAAAAAGCATAACTAAAATGTAATTATACTGTAATAGCCATATCTTTACAGTCACTGAATTATATCATGTAGTCAGAAAAGGAAAAGTTCCCATGATCATTCTTCTGCTCAGATTTCATTAAACTTAATTCTTTTTTCTTTTCCCCTCATGCAGCTACATTTTCAAGCTACCTTGGATCTCAATCCCTATATGCACGCACAATTGACGCCAGATTTTTAGAAGAACTCTTCACCCGAGAGTGTGCACTCTTTTAAAAATCTGTCCTCTTATTTTGGTGCCTGTGACAGAATGGACAAGGCCCTGATCCCAGAAAGAGCCATAGATAAGTCCTCCAGGAAGCTAGAGAAGCTCTGGAGGAAATGGCCAATCAGAGGCCAGGGAGGCCTACAAAAGGAGCAGACAAACACACTCAACCAGATGGGGGCACTCGCGGGAGGTGTGTGCCATCCTGTTAGAGTGCCTAAATGGGGTTTGAGGTCTTTTTGAAAAAACAGCCTTTGCAAACCAATTTGACAGATGTAAAATAACTAGAGTGAGTAGGAAGCAGTCCTGTGGCCTCCAGCCATCTTTCACCCAAATACATATATTTTACAGGAAGTGAGCAGAGGTGAAAAAGATATTAGTATTTAAAGCCAGGTGATCAATTGACTATGCTGCAGCCGGCTTTCTTTACCTAGCATTTTGAATAAATAGAATGTTAAAGCAAAATAAATAAAATATAAAAGCTTTGGAACAAACTGAAGGGAGTTCAAACAAAAAGGGGAAACCTCTGAAGCTGAATTATACATCACGCACGATATGATTTTGTGGTCGGTCCCAAGACATCAGAAACCTGCTGAAGTAGGAGTAGCTACAGAGGGGAAAAGAGTTTTCTTTTCAAGAAACAAACAAGTGCTTACACTTATTTGCACCCTATTCTCTCCACGAATAGGACGGCGTGCTAGAAATGAAACTACATTTTTAAACTGATTGACCTCTCGGGTATGGCGAGCTGGCCAGATCTCTCCCGCTAAGAATGCCCCTGATATGGCAGAGGCTTCAGCTGGTCAGCAAAATCAACCGGGCATAGGTGGCATTCCAGAGATAGCAAGTGTGAGAATCTAGCACTTTCTCAGGGTGAAATCTTGGCCCAGTGAAGTCAATAGCCACTTTGCTCCTGATTTCAGCTGGGCCAAGATTTCATGCTCAGGGTATGTTTAGAATGCATGTGGACATGTTGATCTTATCATAGGTATCCATGCCCATGGCCAGCTGTAAGCTAGCTAGCGTGAGGAATAATTGCAGCGAAGATGTAACAATGCAAGCGTCAGCAAGTCTTCCCAGGAGCCGATACTTGGCTTACTAGCTCACCCTGAAGTCTGTATCTCCATAAGAACATAAGGGGGGACATAAAAATGGCCATACTGGGTCAGACCAAAGGGCCAGCCAGCCCAGTACCCTGTCTGCCAACAGTGGTCAATGCCAGGTGCCCCAGAGGGAGTGAATCGAACAGGTAACGATGAAGCAATCTCTCTCCTGCCATCCATCTCCACCCTCTGACAAACAGAGGCTAAGGACACCATTCCCTACCCATACTGGCTAGTAGCCATTTATGGACTTAACCTCCATGAATTTATCTAGTTCTCTTTTAAACCCTGTTATAGTCCTAGCCTTCACAACCTCCTCAGGCAAGGAGTTCCACAGATTGACTATGCGCTGTGTGAAGAAGAACTTCCTTTCATTTGTTTTAAACCTGCTGCCCATTAGTTTCATTTAGCGGCCCCTAGTTCTTATATTATGGGAATAAGTAAATAACTTTTCCTTATTCACTTTCTCCACACCACTCATGATTTTATAGACCTCTATTATATTCCCCCTTAGTCTCCTCTTTTCCAAGGTGAAAAGTTCTAGTCTCTTTAATCTCTCCTCATATGGGACTAATTCCAAACCCCTAATCATTTTAGTTGCCCTTCTCTGAACCTTTTTTAATGCCAGTATATCTTTTTTGAGATGAGAAGACACATCTGTACACAGTATTCATACCTTCTAGTTAGTGTGGATAACAAGAACTAGTTATCTTGTTATCCACACTAACTTGATTAAAGCTAGTATAGGGATACCTTTGCTTCCTGTGTCACCATTCCCTACAATGTAGTATCTAATAAAATGCTTATGTGACTAGATGAAAATTAAGATTTCCGATAAAAGCGACGAGGAGTCCTGTGGCACCTTATAGACTAACTGAAGTGTAGAAGCATAAGCTTTCGTGGGCAAAGACCCACTTCGTCAGATGCAGTTAGTCTATAAGGTGCCACCGGACTCCTCGTCGCTTTTGCAGATTCAGACTAACACGGCTACCCCTCTGATATAAGATTTCCGATAAACGTTCTTTGTTTTTTGAGTCAGGTGATCTTTTAGCTAACTTACGAAGTTTAAAGCAAACTGATATTAGTTTTCACACCTTAACTCACCGAGGGCATGTCTACACTTGGAAACTATTTCGAAATAACTCAATATGAAATAACAAAATCAAAATAGTGTAACCCCACTGTGTGGGCATGCTCCCTTGATTTAGAGCCCCAGGAAGCACTGGGGAGTAATTACTTCAGATTACTCTGGGGAGTCATTATTTCAAAATAGCAGCAGTAGAGCATCCACACTACCGCTATTTCGAAATAACAATTTCAAAGTTAGCGTTATTCCCTGATGAAAGGAGGAGTACAGATTTTTAAATAGCCAGCATGTTATTTCAAAATAACGTGCTGCGTAGTGCAGACACTCCACTTGTTATTTTGAAATAAGGGGGGTTACTTCCAAATAATTCCCTAGTGTAGATTAGGGCTGAGAAAGCAGCGATTAAAATTGTTTGGTGTGTTCTTAGCCGATGGTTTGGGGAAAATTCCACAATCAAACTAAAAGCCTGACTAGTGGCCGTTGAAAGTTTCTGCAATGGCTATAATGGATGTCAGATCAGGGTGTACGTGTGTAAATGAGACCATGACATCATGCAGGTACAAACACACTTACATTTTGTTTGTGTTAGACCCTGCCAGTGCCGCTGTAACATGGCACTACACCAGGCTAAACACAGTGGAGGTGTATGAGTTAGAATAGGGGCTCCGAATCTGGAGTCCCATTCACAGCTCTGCTACTGATTCTATGTGTGCATTTGGGCAAATCACTTAACCTTACTGTTTCTCATTTCATTTGGGGTCTGATCCAAAGCCCACTGAAGCGAATGGCAAGATGCCCAGTGACTTTAATATGTTTTGGATCAGGCAGTTAATCATGAAAAATATTTGGAGGAATAATCCCTAATTCATAGTCAGATTGCAAGAGTTTAATAAACGAGTGAGTCAAGTATTTCAAGACTCTTGCATGAAAAGAACAATGTCAGTTTAAATTATGGTGACTTTTCCTCCCTTAGCCCAGTGGAGCACTATGAGACTTTCACGGACGAGACCCTTTCCGTAGATATGGGCTTCAACGTATTCTTCCTCTTCTATTTCGGATTACGGGTAAGGAGACTTCACAAACTCAGGTAAAATAATAAGGACGGGAGGGATAATGTAACAGCACAAGGGAACAGGATAGGAACATTTCTCCTCCCATCACAACAAGAAGCAGGAATTCACTCCACTGAAACCAATGGGTTTACACCACTATGGCACTCACATGAGATTATAGTCATGTCTCAGATCCGAAGGTGTAAGAGAGACTTGACATTCCTGGTAGCAAGAGGGAATAAGCCCTCAGACCAAGGGGCATCATTATAAAGGGCTAGCTTTTGATAATGATGGAAGGTCTAGAGAACATGACCTATGAGGGAAGGCAGAAGGAATTGGGTTTGTTTAGTTTAGGAAAGAGAAGATTGAGGGGGGACATGATAGCAGTTTTCAGGTATCCAAAAGGGTGTCATGAGGAGGGAGAAAACTTGTTCATCTTGGCCTCTGAGCACAGAACAAGAAGCAATGGGCTTAAACTGCAGCAAGGGAGGTTTAGGTTGGACATTAGGAAAAAGTTCCTAACTGTCAGGGAGGTTAAACACTGAAATAAATTGCCCAAGGAGGTTGTGGAATCTTCATCTGTGGAGATATTTAAGAGTAGGTTAGATAAATGTCTACCAGGGATGGTCTAGACAGTATTTGGTCCTGCCATGAGGGCAGGGACTGGACTCGATGACCTATCGAGGGCCCTTCCAGTCCTAGTATTCTATGATTCTATGATCCTCCCTCATATTACATAGCACTTCATTCCACCCCAATCCCAATAGTGACATAAGGTTTTGTTCACCATGAGCAAAGTCATCAGAATCGCTCTCCAGAAGCAGCAGCTATGGTGGAACAATGGTTATGTTAGCATACTGGGTCTCAGGATCTGGAGTCAATTCCCAACTTTGTCGCAGACCCCCTCAGTGAACTTAGACAAGGTGTATTCTGTAAGATGGGGATAAAAATACTTCTCTGCCCCCTTAGTGTTGCAAACTAAGGCCTTGCCTACGCTTACTGCCAGATCAGCACTGCAGGGATCAATCTCCAGGGGATTGATTTAGCGGGTCTAGTAAAGACCCACTAAATTGACCGCTGATTGCACTCTTGTCAAATCTGGTACTCCACCAGGTCATGAGGGATAAAGGGAGTCAACAAGAGAGTTTCTCCCATCGACTACCCCGCACTGGGGGTGTTATGATAACTGGAACTAAGGTACATCGACTCCAGCTATGCTATTCATGTAGATGGAGTTGCGTACTTCAGTTTGACATTGTCCCTAGTGCAAACATCTGTAGAGTTAGTGAGGTTCAAGTGACATGGTGATGGGGGGGCATAACAGTAGTGAGATAGGTGTATACTCTTTATGAAGCAAGTTGTTGCCAATTAAGAACATAAGACTGGCCCTATTGGTTCAGACTGTTGATTCTAATGAGCAAAATTAGATGCTTCAGATGAAAGTGCGTAGCTTCTTAACGCGGATTGATGCACTGATTTTTGTGGAGGGAAACTTCCCCCTGTCCCTAATAGTCATGTCTGCCCTTTGAAAAACAACATCCAGTTGCCATTATTTAGCTTTTGAAGCCAGGGTACAAATGCCACCATGGCTCACAACAACTTCCTGTCCTTCTGGCTTTTCATCTGTCTTTTCCCGCAGCCAGGTACATTCTTAAACTCGTTTGCTGCTCCCGCCATGAATGATGTGTTCACATCATCTAGTCAATTAGCTAGATTTCACTCCCACTCTCCCTCGCATGGAGTGGATCACAGTGTGCATCTGTTAGCAGATCATTGACTGCTCTGATGTGAAATGCCCTTTTCTCGTCGTTTTTGGCATTAGAACTCTGGCGCAGTCTTTAGAAAAGAGGATTTTCTTCATGACAGATTTGGGTAATTATGACTGGGTTTTGCCAGTCATTGGGTTTTCAGTGTCAGTCGCACTTAGATACCATAAGAGGTGCCTTAGAGGGGAAAATGAGTAACTAATATCAGTGTTCATCACAATGAGCTTGTCTGCTCTGCTACTTTACTGCGCTGTAACTTTCTCGCTCACGAGTACGGGGGGATAAAAGCCCCTAGCAAGTCACGGCACTGTAAAGCGCCAGGGTAAACAGGCTCCCAGTGACGCTGTTAGCTGCTCCTCTCCTGGAGGTGGTTTATTTACAACACTGGGAGTACGTCTACACAGCAGGGCCAAACTCGCATTGAGCTACGCCACTGACGTCGAAATAGCTTAATTTGGCTTTTGGCACCGCAGAAAGTCGAAGGAAGAACACTCTCCCTTTGATGTCCCTTACTCCTCATGAAATGAGAGTTACAGGAGTCGGAGTAGGAAGCCCTCCAGCTCGACATTATTTTGACAAAAAGGCTTGTAGTCTAGATGCGCTCTGTGTTATTTACGTGACTGCAGGATAGACAAAGCCTTTGACAATGAGATGGTGGAGTTACAACAAGGGGACAATGCCAGGTTCCCCAGAGGGAGAGAACAGAACAGGGCATCATCCAGCGATCCCTCCCCTGTCACCCATTCCCAGCCTCTGACAAACAGAGAGCAGGGACACCATCCCTGCCCTGCCTGGCTAACAGCCATTGCTGGACCTAACGTCCATGAACTTATCAAGCTCTTCTGTTCACTTCCTCTGGGGTACCTGGCATTGAAATCCCATTCTCCACTGAAGTCAGTGTGTCCGGCTAAGCTAGGGATGACTTTGCCCCAAGCTGCCCTGCTTTAAAACAAGCTCGGAAGAGGTCACTGGGTGCAAAGAGGGGCAAATGAGAGAGCAAGAGCGGAGCTAGCTGCATTCAGCAAAAGAAGCCCCATTCCGGGTTTACTCACCTGTCTCCCTGCTCCCACGTGCTTCACTCTCATAGGGTACATCTAGACTACAGGCTTTTGTCTACAGAAGTTTTGTTGACAGATACTGTCGACAAAGCTTCTGTTGACAAAGAGCATCTAGACTACAGCCAGTTCTGTCGACAAAGCAAGCCGTTTTGTCGACATGGCGGTGTAGACGCAAAGGACAGTGTAGATGCAATAACGCCTTCTGTCAACAGAACTCTGTCGACAAAAGGCGTTATTCTTTGTAGAATGAGGTTTACCGCTGTTGACAAAACTGCTGAGTTCTGTCGACAGAACTCAGCGGCAGTGTAGATGCAGGTATAGTTTTGTCGACAAAAGTCCACTTTTGTTGAAAAAACCCTGTAGTATAGACACACCCATAGTGTCCTAACGGTCCTTGACATGCCTGTTTTCTGTAGTTTGTGGCAGCGGGCAATAAGCTGAGATTCTGGTTTGAGCTCAACTCCATTGTGGATTTCTTCACCATCCCTCCAGTCTGTGTTTCCTTCTATTTAAAGAAGTACTGGCTTGGTAAGTGGCACGTGGGGACCATTGTTGTTTCATGTCTTACTCCGAGGCCCCCTTCTTTTACTTCACAGAGGTGAAGGTGCCTCCTTATTCTAGGCCAGGTCTACACTAAAAGGAAAGGTTGAATCAAGGTACACATCTCCAGCTATGTGAATGACGTAGCTGGAGTCAACATACCTTGTTCTGAGTTTCCCCACCATCCCCACAGTGAGATGCCTGTCTTACTCTTCACAGGAGTAAGCGCACCAGCCACCAACAGAGACACCCTCTGAGTTTGATTTAGCAGGTCTTAACTAGACCTGCTAAATCAAACTCCAGAAGATCAATTGCAGGAGCATTGATTGTTCATTTAGTGTAAAGATGGCCTTGACTTTCCTGCACTATGGAAACTGTTCTTGTGTGTGTGTTTGCCTGGGACAGAATTAGGCTCTGAGGGTAGTGCAGCCCTTACCTCCTCTGGGAAGAAAATTGGCACAAGTCCAACACACAGTTTAAGTTCTGCTTCCGCTATATTTATCTGTCTGCCTAGCTTTTAATGCCATGCCCATCAGGCATCTAACCCTGTGGATGAGGTGTTACTCCCATGAGGAATTCAAATGGAAGAGTACTATGGGCAGGCTTCCTTGACATTTTGATATGAATAAATAAGAGTTATTTACTCCTTCCCATAACATAAGAACTAGGGGTCACCAAATGAAATTAACAGGTAGCAGGTTTAAAGCAAACAACGGAAGTACTACTTCACAGAGTGCATAGTCAACCTGTGGAACTCCTTGCCAGAGGATGTTATGAAGTCCAAGACTATAACAGGGTTCAAGAAAGAACTAAATAAATTCACAGAGAAGCTATAGCAATGGCTATTATGCAGTATGGGCAGGGATGGTGTCTCTAGACTATGTTTGTTGAAAGCTGGGAATGGATGACAGAGGAGGGATCACTTGATGTTTCCCTGTTCTGTTCATTCCCTCTGGGGCACCTGGCATTGGCCACTATCAGAAGACAGGATAATGGGCTAGATGGACCTTTGGTCTGATGCTGTATGGACATTCTGATGTAATTCTCAAGGTCTGGTCCTCATTTATGCCTCACTTAGGCCTTCACAAGACACACACACATACACACAGAGAGAGAGAGAGAGAGAGAGAGAGAGTCTTGTTGCTCTACGTAGCTTTTCTCTGTCCTCTTCCATTGCTGTTTTCCTGCAGGTTTGCGGTTTTTGCGAGCACTGAGATTGTTAGAACTTCCCAAAATATTTCAGTTTCTGAAGATTACCAGGACAAGGTAAGTCAAAGCGTGGTCAAGTGATGGCTTCCATGTATTGTTACCTCCTGGTATTTTGGCTGGCTTAAGATATGGAGGAAGTGGGTGTAATACACTGCTGGAAAATTCGGATCCAGGATTCCACGTGGATCTACATGTCGCATCTGGCCCTTGACCCTGAGTCTGAGCTGTGCAAACTTATCCGTAGCCATCTTCATGGCTCTGGATGATCTACTCAGAAGGAAGAAAGAAGATCAATGTTATTCTGCCCAGTAGGAGCTTCCTGGCTAGAGCCCAGGTGCAGTCGGCAGAGAGGGTCATGTGGGCAGTTATAACTATGACATAACTTATGCAAAGTCTTTAACAAGCTTTTCCCCTTTCTGTCCCCAGTAACTCCATCAAGCTGACCAGATTGTTAGCTGTAGTCCTCACCACCTGGCTGACAGCTGCAGGATTTATACACTTGGTATGTACAATCATTTCCACTTCCTTCCTGGGGAGCCCTAAAACAGTGCTAAGTGTATGAGGGGTTGCTGGGTTAGTCTGTAACTTTAAAAACAACGTTTGTTCCTGGGGCATCTTAGGGTATGTCTAGACTACATGGCTCCATTGACGGAGCCATGTAGATTAGTGTACTCGAAATGAAGGGAAATGAAGTGGCGATTTAAATAATTGCCACTTCATTTACATCAAAATGGCTGCCTCGCTGTGCTGATCAGCTGTTTGGCAGCACAGCGCGGTAGTCTGGATGCTCCACAGTCGACAAGGGCTTCCCTTGTTGACCGTGGAGCATCCAGACTGCCGCGCTGTGCCACCAAACAGCTGATCGGCACAGCACGGCAGCCATTTTGATGTAAATGAAGCAGTGATTATTTAAATTGCTGCGTCATTTCCCTATGTCTAGAAAACTCATCTACACGGCTCCGTCGATGGAGCCATGTAGTCTAGACATACCCTTAGCGTATATTTATATTGCAACGCTATTTCGGAATAGTGGCGTATCCTGAAATGGCTATCCCTTATCTTCACAGCAAGCCTGTTATTTCAGGCTCACTATTCTGACATCCCTGTAAACCTCATTCCGTGAGGAATAAGGGACTTTTTGGAATAGCGCTTCGTTTCAAAAGTTGGCACTGTGTAGACAGCGCCAAATGACGAAATAAGCTATTTTGAAATGGCATCAAAATAAGAGACGGAATTTGTGTAGCTCAAATTGTGCATCTTAGTTTGTAAATGACGAAATAAGCTATTTTGAAATGGCATCAAAATAAGAGACGGAATTTGTGTAGCTCAAATTGTGCATCTTAGTTTGTGTTATGGTGCAGTGTAGACGCACCCTTAGAGACTTACCAAAATATATAGACTCATGAGCTTTCGTGGGCAAAATCCACTTCATCAGATGAATTAGAGCAGAAATAACAGAAACCAAAGAGAGCTATATAACAGCAGAAAAAGTACCTGTCAATTGCAGGATCTGTGTTAATGAGACTAATTAAGTGGACTGGTTTTATCCCATTCATAGCTTTTGATGTGAAAATGCAGATGTTAAAGGCAGGAGAAATTGGCTTTGTAATGCGCCAGCCAGATTATGTCTTTGTTTAGACCCAGGGTAACAGTGTCAAATCTGTAGATAAATTTTGGTTCTGCAGACCCTCTGTAATTGGCTAGAGAATTTCCTTTGCAGGAGAATAGCGACTTTTAAATCCATGTTTGAGTGACCATAGGTTCCCCTACAGCTTTATGTGTGTTACCATTCCTGATCATAAACCTGGAGGGGAAACTTTTAACCTGAATATTCTCTGTAAATGTTTCGTTTGGGGAATGTAACCTTTTACTAAGGCGATATGGGATGGGATACATATTGATCTGAAAGACCACTGTAAGGGTATGTCAGTACTACATAGTCTTATCTATGCCAGCACAACCCTGTGGGATAGACTCAGCCTCCATCCATGGACGGGTAAAGAGCTCCCCTGCCCCAAATGCTGGTAGCAACGTTGATGGATGTCTTCTTCCATGGACGTAGGTGGATCTATACATGGCAGGAAGTCAGCAAAGTTATGTTAGTCAATGGGATGTATTTTTCACGCCTGGGCCTAGAATTAGCAAGTTATCTCAACTATAAAATAGGACAAATGGAGGAGCAGTTGCTTCTTAGCTGCACGGGGACAGGGGAACAAGGATGAGGTGGCTTCAGATTTTCAACATCCAAAAGAGTAAGGGAGAGTTTACCCCAGCGCAGCGTACTTGGTTATGTTAGCAGGTGAATCTGGATTGGTACCGACCCCCTTTGGTGTCACGTGTCTACATTAGGGGGTTATATTTATGTTTTCTGGCAAAGAGGTTCCCCACACCTAAATCAGGGGTAGGTGAGGGAGGAAAGTGATATTGTATGTTTAAATATTTGAACAGGGCCACTGGACATTGGTAGGAAAGGATTACTTTGACGCTTGCTAGGAAATAAGTAGTAGATTATTTAGCAACAAAAAACGCATCTTTCAGCCATGGGAAAATCGAGAGAGACCGGGAGACAATAGTAAGACTGATCATTCAACGAAACCATTCCAAGTGGTCTTGACACTTTCAAAATGGGCTGCAACATCCACAGGATGTTTCCTTCCAAATCTTCCCTTCCCTTTTATAATTCCGACAGGTGGAGAATACAGGAGATCCTTGGCTTGACCATCAAAATACCCAGTCCCTGAGCTACTTTGACTGTTTATACTTGATCATGGTGACCATGTCAACAGTTGGCTTTGGAGATGTGGTGACTAAAACGTGCTTGGGTCGTATTTTCATGATTTTCTTCATCATCTTTGGTTTGGTAAGAAACCTTTATCTCCTTTCTACCACTGGCTGATTGTCTTGAGTTGAACGCAAGGACCAGATGTTAGTTGAGTTGAATGCCAGCCCCCGAAGCTCTGGGTTCCTCACTCCCAGATGATGGCCTGACTAGCAGTAGACCAGCTGACTTCCAATGAAACCCAAAGGTTGCAAATATAAAACAGCTAAAAATAAGTATTTTTTTTCTGAGCAAAACACAGTTAATCTGTGAAACTCACTTCCACAAGATACCATAGAGGCCACGAGCTTAGGATGATTCAAAAAAGGATTGGCTAGATTTCTATTAACAAGAATATTCAGGATTTTAATGGCAAGTATTTTTGTAAAAAAAAAATCCAAGTATTTAATGTATAAGCCCTCATGCTTGAAAGCACAAGCCAATCTTTGATTAATCAGTTAGGAAAAAAATCTTATCTGTGCATTAGAAAATCGTTAATGAATTGTATCAGGCAAGAGCCCTATGCAGGAGGGATAAATTAGCCCCATTTTAAAGATGAGGAATTGAGGTATAATGGTAGATTAAGTGGTTTGCTCAAGGATACATAGGGAGGTTATGAATGAGGTGAGACTAGAACACAGATTTTCTGAGGCTCACTTAAGTACTATATCTTCTAAATCATCCTTCCACCACTACAGTGGACAGCTGGGAAGGGAAAACTGCCCCCTCTCATAACTACCTACCGCAGGATTTCTTGCTTCTCAGTTGCACTCACCATGTAGGCTCTGAAATTTAACATGGGTGGACAGGATGGAGTGTTCACGCCACACATGAAGGGGTTAATGTAGCTCAGAGTGGGCGAATTAACTTAGTAGGCTGCAACTAGGAGGAGACTCAGGCTTCATTGACAAGCGCTAATGGAAGATGGCGCCCATCTGGGCAGCGGTAGGTGGAGCTTGTAAAAAGCCAGGAAGTGCTTGGAAAAAGGGGCTGTGGAGGGGCAGTCTGCAGGCATTTTCTGAGCCTAGTGAGGAGAGAAGGAGGAAACCCAGAGAGCGCAGAAAAAGAAGAAAGTCTTCAGAGGGAGGGCCTGAGTCTCCTAGCCACCAGGAAAGTGGCACAGTGTGGAATCAGGAGAGGGCCTGGAATGGCACGTGGACAGCCAATGGGGTAGACTTTGTTACCCTAGAAAGGGAAAACGGTGCAGTGCCCTGGCCAGGAAGTGGAAGCAGTTAAATGCCTTGAGAGTAAGAGTGGTCCCCGTGTGAATGACCAAAGGAGGTGGGGGATCATACTGGAGAGAGCTCTTCCCCAGACACAGACACAAGGGGGCACCCCCAACCAACGCTGGGAACAGCAGAGATGGCTCTAAGCAGGACTGTGTTTCTTGACTCTTTAGGTTCTGTTTGCAAATTTTATCCCTGAAATTGTGGATATCGTTGGGGGCAATCAACAATACAAAGACTCCTATGAGGTGGTGAGAGGGAGGAAGTAAGTGTGATTCTTTATATTGTCTTTTCCAAACAAAGAACAGCTTCACTGACAGGCTACAAATTAGTTCAGAGAAAATAATAAGGGATACTTGTGAAACTTTCTGTCTACCCCTCCCCCCATCCATCTTGGCCCTCCTCACCAAGGTATCTGAGTGCATACGTAGATGAAAATAGCTCTCTTCAGTATGAGTTTTATTTCTAGAGGTAAGTCTATATGTACAGGGCATCGATGCAGTTTTTCTGCTGCAGCGCATCAGGGGAAGGAGCTCTGAACCAATGGGAGAGAGCTTTCCAATTGGCATAAAAATATCATCTCTGGAAACGGTGGAAGCAAAGTTTCCAGGAGAAACTCTCCCACCAACATGATGCTTTGCGTACGAGGACTTAGGTCAGTGTGACTTATGTTCCGTTCACATCCCTGAGTGAGGTAAGCTAGGCCAACATAGGCTGTAGCATAGATACAGCCTAAGAGGGAAGAAAGTATAAATTAGAGATAGAAGACGCCTCTCATTGCTAGCTTTTCCCTTTCAAGCCAAGAAAGACCATTCCGGTATATTCTTCAGTGCTTCGTCCATTCCATTTTTTAGTAAAACTGGTTGTTGTTTTTTTCAAAATAAAAAATTTCAGTGAAACATGCCACTGACATTAAAAATATCAAACAAAACAAGGGGAAGGAGGAATGTTTGGAGTCAACGTTTTTCACAGTTTAATTTTTCTAAATTTTGAATTCAAAATAAAGGAAAACAGACGTGTTAATTTGCCTTGACCTGTTGGTTAACCAGCTCTATTTTTCAATGACTCAAGTGATAGGTCTGCCATCATTTCCTTGGGGGACTATCCCGCAGTATTGAAGAAATCGCTTGTAGCATTTTCTCGCTGATATTCCTTCTACATTGCCCTTGTCTTAATGTTATCTCATCACTCCTAGTTATAGGTTCATAGAGTGGGTGCTTTAATGCTAAAAGGGACCTGGATGATGCTCTATTTTAACCTTCTGCATAACATTTTACCCAGTAATCTTGCCTCAAATCCATAACTTGTGGTTGAGTTAGATTATCTCCTTTAGAAAGACATCCATTCTTCATTTAGGGAACCGAATTTCTTCAGTATCCCTCTCCCTCTCCTAAATGAGTCCTTTTTCCCTTTGGTGTCTCCACCATTATAATACAGGCAGTCCCCGGGTTACATGGATCCGACTTACATCGGATCCCTACTTACAAACGGGGTGAGGCAACCCCGCACTAGCTGCTTCCCCCCAGCAGACCAGGGAGACGCGGAGTGGCTTTTCTCAGCAGACACCTCAGCTTGAGAATAAAGGACTGTGGGAAGTGAGGTGTGGGAGAATAAAACTGAGCTCTGGAGAAATGTTTGGCTAGAGTTTCCCCTACAATATGTACCAGTTCCGACTTAATTCAACTTAAGAACAAACCTACAGTCCCTATCTTGTACGTAACCCAGGGACTGTCTGTACTTGTATAGCTCTACCGTTTACAAAATAACCCTTCAAACTACGGAGGTGTGATATATGGAATCATAAGCACAACTGCAGGTTCAAACAAAAAAGCTTCCGCACAGCTCGAGTTCCAACTTTGTTGGCCATATTTATCAAGGACTTCAGCCTATCTAGAGCTCTGTATAGCATACAGAGACATCTAGTGACTAATTAACAATGCCATGTTTATAATAAGCACTCTCTATGTCCCAAACATGATAGAATTATCTGAATCTCTTTCTGTAGGTTCATTGTTGTCTGTGGCGATATCACTCTGGACAGCGTGACGGCTTTCTTAACAAACTTCCTGGCCCAGGACACAGGAGATATTTGCACTGAGATTGTCTTTTTGGGAGAGTAAGTATCCCCATGAGACATTTCAAAGTCACTTTCTAAATACAGTTGTTGGGGGGAGCTAGAGGATACTTTTATTGTCCGGTGGCTTTTGAGAACCGGACAATATTGGTTAACTTATATTGGCTTATCTTGTATAACTAAGTAAAGGGAAATGGTAAACTGCAGAGACACTTATGAGACCTTCCCACCTTGTGATAAAATGGTCTCTGTGCTAAATCTTTAATGAAAATTTTAAATTTTTTCCTTTTCAATTGTATCTTGCATTTTAGACTCACTCTATCCAGGGGTGCCAACAGCCTCTGTATACCACTCAGCAACGTATGGGGGGCCTGGCTCCCTCTCCTGAAAAGGGCCCATCTTGGGCAGAAGGGGCGGGGCCAGCCATCTTTGAGCGTTGCCCAGAATGCACCACGCCAGTCCTCAGGCAACCTGCAGCACTACCCGGAGCACAGCGTGCTGCCCCTAGACCTTAGCACTGCCAGGAGTGCACGGGGCAACTCCCCTTTTCCTCCCCACCCCTGTCGGTAGGCCTGACTATCTGAAACTGTTGACCCAAAGACAGGAGTCTTGGTTCTGCCTTGAGGGTGGGGGGCTGGAAACCCCAGGCGGAACGTGTGATCAGCGCCCCCACCTGCACGGCTGTCAATGGAGTGACATCATCATCGGGCGCCCCGGGCACCCTGTGATATCATAATCGGGCACCCTGTTGAAGGCGGAGCCATAGGCAACAGCCGAGTCGGCCTATAGTCACGGGCTGCCCCTGCCCAAAGATCTCTTGGAGCTATGTGGCAGAGGTCCTGGGTTAAATAACGGTACCAGCATCCCCTAGTTCTGGCATCTACTTCCTGTCAGAGAATATAATTTCATTTTGCTAGTGAAAGCCTGTGTCACATTTCTCAGCATAATCATTGACACACCAATAGAAAATGTGTGAGGAGTGACATCTATACCATAAACAGGTGTTCTCTAGGGCTGTTAGTTAAGGCAGGTCACCAAATATTGATCCATCTGCTCCTGTCATGTTGGGGGAAGAGACATTTCTCTCTCTCTGGTTGGCCATGTGCACATTAATTATTGTAATAGACGCCTACTTACAGTCTGAGAAAAATGAGCAGTTGGCGGGGGGGTGGGTTGATTTTACCTCTGTATGCAGCACCGTTGGGTCCGGTGCCGGGGTAATGCATGCAGTCCTGGGACCCACATTTTGAGGGGGATGCTGAAGAACTGAACTGGGTGTACAGAAGAAGCAGAGAAATGAGGAGCGGACTGGAGAAAATTCCTTACAGTGAAAGACTTAAAGAGCCCAATCTGTGTAGCTTATCAAAAAGAAGATTGAGAGGTGATTCGATACGTATACATCTATCTTCATCGGGAGAAAATACCATGTACTATTGGGGTCTTTAATCTAGTGGAGAAAGGCATAATAAGAACCAGTGAATGGAATATAAAGCCAGACATTTTCCAATTAGAAATGAGGTATCATTTTTTACCAGTGAGGGTGATTAACCACTGGAACAAACGACTAAAGGAAGTGGAGGATTTTTCATCCCTTGTTTTCAAATCAAGACTGGCTGCCTTTCTTCGCTTTAAGCCAAACATAAATTATTGGGCTGAATAAGGAGGAAATGGGGTGAAATTCCCTGGCTTGTGTTCCATAGGATCGTCAAAATGTCCTCAACTTCCCTTTGGGTCTTAAAATGTATTATTCTATGAGGGGACGGTGGATCATAGCTCTTGCGTTTGGAGTAAGAGTAAACGAGGGTGTGGAAATAAGTTAGTAAAATAACCAAATTTAAGAGGAAGAAGGAAACAGACCCTGTGGGCTCCATCTGGTGGCAGAGTATGGGATCTTGGCTTTCTGCGTCTCACGCACTTTCAGAGTGCACTCATTTTAGCAGAACTATATTTCATTCAACAGCCACTCTTTTCACTGCAATGTAAACTCTGGCTCTTTGGGCTTTATGAAACCTAAATGATGTGCTTTAACTGATCCACTGTGTCCCTTTCAAGCACTTAAATGCGGCATATTTTGGGGAGAGGGGAAAAGTCAAGGGCATCGTTACTAGGGGCTCATCGGCATTTTCCTTCTGTTCTGGATTTTTTATCATGTAGAACTCTTCCCAGTCTGGAGCTAGAAACTGTATTCAAATGCTATTCTGCCTACACCACTTTCCTCCACGGCTCTGTACTGAATGATGAAGATCTGAAGAGAGTGAAGGTAACTCCCCCCTTTTTTTCCATTCCATGAGTCGTAAGAACATAAGAACATAAGAGCGGCCAGACTGGGTCAGACCAAAGGCCCTTCTAGCCCAGTGTCCTGTCTGCCCACAGTGGCCATGGCCAGATGCCCCAGAGAGAGGGAACACAACAGATACATCCTCCTGTGATCCCTCCGCCATCTCCCACTTCCAGAGAAACAGAGCTAGGGTATGTCTACACTACCCCGCTAGTTCGAACATGAGGTGTATCGGTAGTTCGGAATAGGAATCCTAGTTCGAACTACCTAGTTCGAGCCCCGTGTAGCCGCGCTGCACGGGGTTCGAACCAGCGGGGTTTTAAAAATGGCGGCTCCCCGCTTATGCAAATGAAGCCCGGGAAATTCAAATCCCAGGCTTCATTTGCAAGTGCAGTATGCCTACATTACCCTCCTAGTTCGAACTAGCGGGGTAGTGTAGACATACCCTAAGGGACACCATTTCTACCTATCCTGGTGTGGAAGAAAACAAGTAGCCAGAGGCAGTTTTATTATGAGCTGCAGCAAGGGAAAAACTGGTTCGGACAGGGGGAAGAGAAAGCCTCCCCTCCTCCGAGGCAGATCTTCGAATACAAGCAATTATGAAGCAGTTTCCATAACAATTAGTCTCCTTCCCATTACAAACACCAATGGCTAACAGTTATTTTAGTTCCACCCAGATGCTCCTTATCTCAAAGTCCCTGCCAGAGTCAGCGTTCTATCCTTATCTCCGTATGGAGGCGAGAGGCAAAGGCAGCGTCTAATTACAGATCTCGCGTTGTCAGGCCACAGACTTAGCCTGATTCTTGCTCTCTTGTTAACAAGACCAAGATGGCTGCACACAAATTCCCTTATTTCCTTTTCCTGTCTCCACACTGGCTAACAGCCATTGATGGACCTATCCTCCATTAACCTTTCTAGCTCTTTTTTGAACCCTGTTATAGTCCTAATCTTCATAACATCATCTGGCAAGGAGTTCCACAGGTTGACTATGCACTGAGTGAAGAAAAATTTCCTTTTGTTTGTTTTAAACCTGCTGTCTATTAATTTCATTTGGTGACCCCTAGTTCTTATATTCTAGGAATAAGTAAATAACTTTTCCTTATTCACTTTTTCCACACCACTCATGATTTTATAGACCTTTATCATGTCCCCCCTTAGTCTCCTCTTTTCTAATCTGATAGTGTAAATCTTTTAAATCTCTCTTCATATGGGACCCATTCCAAACCCCTTATCATTTTTGTTGCCACAATTTTGACTGAATCAAAATTTAAGTCACGATTTTGAATAGTTACTTCAAGTATGCCCATGTATTCCAAAGGAGCAGTTTGCAGAGTAAGGTCCAACAGCATGTGAACCAAGAATGTAATGCAAGATACTGGAGCCTGATAGACTCAGATTTGTAAAGATGGAGAATGAAAATAAACAACTGCATTTGACGAAGGGGTTTAGATCCACGAAAGCTGGTGCCCAAATAAATCTGTTAGCCTTCACACTGCCACAGGTCTCCTCGTTGTTTAAACGGAATTGTGACCAATTGGTCTTAGGAGAAGCAGGTGAAATGGTTCTATAAAATGTGGCCTTTTTTGGAAAGTAAAGACTCTAGATAATAAATAAACCAGCTATGCCCAGGGGGATATTGCATTTTATGTGGAATCAAGCCCTATGTTTGCTTTTCTCTCCTGGGAAACAGATGGGCTCTGCAGATGCTTGTCTGATCCTAGCCGATACTTGCTCCTCAGACGCTTATATTGAAGACACTTCTAATATCATGAGGTAGGTTGAGCTCCTCCAGCGTTCTGTATGCGATTGACGTTAACACCTGCAAATGCCACGAGCAGACACAAGGAGAGGGGAAATGTATTTCTCTGACCGCTCCTTCATTTGAATAGCATCGCTATGGTGTAAGAGGACCAAGGAAGAGGGCAGCGCTCTAACCTCCCGAGCCCTGCAGTGGATGTTTCTGCTTTCTCACCCTCGTGAATAATGTTGCTGCCCTCAAGTGGGCAGGTTCCTTTATCCTGAGGAAACAGCCATGCCATCTAACTAGACCCCATTGATGACATTAGCTCTGACATGCTACGTGTGTTTAAAAGTCTCAGGGGGGTCACTGGATTAGTCTGTAACTTTGCAAACAACAAGTGGTCCCGGGGTACTTTCGGGACTAAGAAATATAGAGAGAGTCTCATGAGCTTTCATGGGCAAAACCCACTTCCTCAGAGGAGATGATCTTCAGTGGAGGAAAAAAAAGGTGGCCCCTCAGAATAAGAAGAGAGAGGGAGGGGAAAAAATACCTGTCAATTGTAGTCCGGGTGCTAATGAGGCTAATTGAGTGGGCGGGAATTGTCCCATTTTTAGCTTTAGATGTCAATAGGGAATTGAAGATAAGCAAAGCTGGTTAACCTATCATAAAACAGGCATGTTTTCACACAGGGTGCTGTCTGTCAAGAACCACTATCCAAAGACAAGAGTCATCATACAGATAATCCAGTCTCATAACAAGGTAGCCCAGTAGCTTTGTCAGTCTGGTTTTATTCATTTAGTGCTGATCATCCTGGGTGAAAGTCTGGCCCCACTGAAATCAATGGGCTAAATTCTGATCGACTCAATAAAAAGAGGATTTCACCCTTCTATTACTGCCACATCAAGTGTGTCACTTAGGCTACGTCTACACTGCAATGCTATTTCAGGGTACTGGAGTATCCCGAAATAGTTATCCTGCATCTTCACAGTAAGGACATTATTTCAAAATACAACGGGCTCGTTATTCCGATGTGCCTGTAAACCTCATTCCACGAGGAGTAAGGGACGTTTTGGAATAGCGGGTTAATTTGAAATGATGAAATAAGCTTTTTTAAATAAGATCAAAATAAAATATGCAGCTTGTGTAGCTCAAATTGCGTATCTTACTTCGAGCTACCCATGCAGTGTAGATACACCCTTACTGTTACTAAATGTCTTCTCTCAGTCACATTGTCTGCCTTGAAAGGGACATCATTCTATTTTAGAACATAAGAACGGCCATAGTGGGTCAGACCAAAGGACCTGCCTGCCTTTATCCTCATGTGTATTCACTGTCTTATCCCGAGACAGGCCTACCTGTCCAAAATCCCCCACTGGGACTGGAGGAGAGGAGACAGCATCATCTGTTTTGCGGAACTAAAACTCGGCTTCATAGCACAGAGTTGCTTGGTCCCAGGCCTGTCCACGCTCCTCAGGAGCCTGTTCATTAGGAAAAAGAGCTCCAAGGTAAGCCCTCGCCTTTTCCCAGCCCTGTGAATGGGGACCTTATCTGGCCAGTGTGTGTCCGTCCTATGAGTGGAAGCGATGCCTGGGTATTTTCAGAATAGTGGTAGAAATGTAGCCGTGTTAGTCTGATGCTGCTGAAACAAAAAACAGGACTGTGTAGCACTTTAAAAACTAACAAGATGGTTTATTAGATGATGAGCTTTCATGGGCCAGACCCACTTTCTCAGATCAAATAGTGGAAGAAAATTGTCACAACCGTATATACCAAAGGATACAAATAATAAAATGAACACATATGAAAAGGACAAATCAAATTTCAGAACAGAAGGGGGATGGAGGGGGGGAAGGGGAGGAGGTAAATGTCTGTGAGCTAATGATATTAGAGGTGATAATTGGGGAAGCTATCTTTGTAATGGGTAAGATAATTAGCGTCTTTATTCAAATTTGAGCATAAAGTGTCGAATTTAAGCATGAATGACAGTTCAGAGGATTCTCTTTGAAGTGAAGTCTTACAAGGTCTTTGAAGAAGGATGCAGGTAATCAAGTCGTTGAGACAATGTCCTTTCTGGCTGAAATGGCAAGAAACTTTTTTTTCTTTGTGATCCTGTCTGATGTCTGTTTTGTGGGCATTGATCCTTTGGCGAAGTGTCTGAGACGTTTGTCCAATGTACATAGCAGACGGACACTTTCGGCACATGATTGCATAAATTATATTTCTGGATGCACAGGAATATGTGTTCTTGATCTTATAACTCACTTGGTTGGGTCCAATAATGGTATCAGCAGAGTGAATATGTGGACAAAGCTGGCAACGGCGTTTGTTGCAAGGAAAGGTATCAGGGTTGGTATTAGTGTGGTATGTCCTGTGGTTGTTGGTAAGAATCACCTTGAGGTTAGGTGGTTGTCTATAGGAGACTATGGGTCTGTCTATTTTCAGACTCTGCTTGAGCAAACCGGGACTTAATCTGGCAGGGGAGACTAGCTCGCGGAACGGGCGATTTTTATGTAACGCCATCTGTTTGCAATGATGCTTTGCTGCATGAAGGGGTCCCGATTCTGCTCTCAATTGGAATTACTGGAATTACTCCTGATGTGACCTGATTGAGGTCAATGAGGGGAGGGTTAGTCCCGGGATAGCTTGTCCGTGCTTTGTATTAGTTCACACCCTTTTGGATCTCCCTGCGTGAATCGATTTCCTGTCTGTTTTAACCTGACAGAGTTAAGTCATGTCTACATGATGGGCTTTGGGCCTGTACAGGGGAGGACTGGCCCGGCAGGATATCGGGAATTTCCTGGTAGGCCGTTGTCCGGTGGGCCGTCGTGTCCGCACGCCGTTGCCCCTCACACCAAGCGGCTCCTCATCCATGCTGTATGCGGCATGCAGAGCCTGACCCGCCGCCTGCACCGTGTGCCAGACATGACGCAGGGGCGGGGCTTGAGGGGCACGCAGAGGTGACGTCATGGGGAGGGCTGTTCTCAACCCGTTTCCCGGGCCTATTTTAATTGCCAGTGTGCTCCTGGGCCTGTAGCTATGCCAGGGTCTACTTCCCCGCAGCAAGGGAAGGGGTTTTTCCATTGCTCTAGGTCAGGGCTACTCAACACGTGGCCTGTGGCTCGTTTCTTTGTGGCCCAGGAGCAGTTTGGTGTTACGTGGGGCTCAACATGCGGCCAGTGGGTGGGATCCTTTGGACACGGCCTCCACTGGGAACACGCTCTACAACGGCGAGGTGTCTCCCAGGTGGGGTGAGCACTGAAAAAAGCAAACGGACAGGATGGCTAGAGCAGACGGGTACAGGGTGTTGGTGTTTGTAGCCCCAGGGAAGAGGTGCTGGAAGTGCTGGGGCATTGTGGGAAGTGCTTTGTATTACATAAGAACAGCCGTACTGGGTCAGACCAAAGGTCCATCCAGCCCAGTATCCTGTCTGCCGACAGTGGCCAGCACCAGGTGCCCCAGAGAGGGTGGACCGAAGACAATGATCAAGTGATTTGTTTCCTACCATCCCTCTCCAGCCTCTGACAAACAGAGGCCAAGGACACCATTTTATCCCCTGGCTAATAGCCTTTTATGGACCTACCCTCCATGCGTATTCACGCCTGTCAGTGTGAAAGAAGCTATTTGCATATATTTGCATATATATTTGCATGTATAGGAAACCAAACTTAAGTTGCGGCCCTCGACATGTGCTATGAATATCATTGTGGGCCCCAGGACTTACAAGGTTGAGTAGCCTTGCTCTAGGGGGTCATTCTCTCCAAGTGAAGGGAGCTAGAAGAATCCTAGTTATGTTTACACAGCGGATTGTGGTGCCCAGGCATGCGAACTTTGCATGCCCATGAGCACCGGAGTTCTGTCAGCCTAACTTTATGTTGACCACGGCTTGTCTCCACAGCCCTTCAGGTTGTACTACCGGGGAGTGAAAAGCCGTGCGCACCAAAGCGCTCCGGTGTAACTCCCCCGGCTTGCACACTAGGGGAGTGAACTCAAAGGTAAACAGGGCAACAGTCACATGAATCAGGAACCTTTTAGTTCATGCGCACAGCACCCACATATCGGAGATACAGTGCAATGCTTTGGTGCACACGGCAGTTCACAGCCCTACAGTCTGAACTTCCAGATAGTCTAGACACAGCCTTCTGTTCAGCCTTTACACAGGGACAGAACAAGGCTACTCAGCCACTTAGCCTCCAAATGGAATTTAATTGGGACTTAAGTGATTCACAGGACTTAGGTAATGTCCTTCGGCAAAAGACTGAATACTAATTTACTTGCCCTTTCCTGATCTGTTCCTATTAAAGAAAAAAAATTAATAAGCAAGATACCATCTTTTCAATAGACAAAATTGCTCTGCAATTCCTCCAGCCAATGCTGGAAGATGTAATAAAAAGATTAAAGGAAATAACGGTCAAGCATTAAGTTGTTTGGAGAAGCCTCGTGTTTCCTTGTGTTGTGCAATGGATATGTTTTTACTATCACCTAGTGGCCATTTGAGATGCCTTCTGTAGTGACTTCCATGCTGGCTGAATTTCCCTATATTTTAGTGACAGGAGAATTACGCTAGTGTTTTTTACTTCTGACACTTTTTATTCACAGTTTTGTTTATCCAGATTAAGTGACTGGAATCTGAAATTAATACAGTCTCGTTCATATACAAAAGTTCCACCTAAAACTTGTCGGAACGTGTTTGACGAAATATATTTTCATCAAACTATACTGTGTCATCAAAGCCAAAATATTTTGAAGAAATGTGTTGACTTTTGACACGAAGGTTTTTGTGTGCTGAGTTCTCAGCTGGCCAGAGAAAAAAAGAGACCCAAATGGAAAACCTGATGAATTGCATTAGAAAAAATATTTTAGTTCATTGTGCCTGGATGTAATACATGTATCTTTTCTATTGGTCACTTCTTGATTTTTATTTTATCCTCCCCCCAAAATATTTGTGTATGTGATTGTTGAGTGACAATGGAATTCAGAACTGATCCATTATCAAACAGTAATTATGGCAATGGACTAAATTTGCCCACAAAACTATTTAATTATTAATAATTATTTGAGCTGGTGAGGAATTTTTTTCTCGCAAAATTTTTCAGGTGTTTATTTTTCAACCAAAATCTCTGTTTTGTTTAAGTTGACAAAAAACATAATAAAGAAGCAAACAAAAAACGGTTTTCTTTTTTTTAAACCTGAAAATTTTGGACAATGGCCATTTCTCCCCCATCCCCACATGTCCATGTTATCAATAAAGCCATTTCCCATTTAAATGCAAAACACAAAATCATGTCAGAAAATTTCCCATAAACAGCTCCATGAATTGTTTATCGTAAAAGGCATAAAGATACCACGGTGATTGGCGGGACGATGGGCGGGAGTGGGGAACAGTGTAAAACCAGAAGGATTTCTCTGCACTAGATAATTTTGCTATTTTAACTATACTAGTAGGCTGTGTCTACATTGTATGCTTCTTGTTCAAGAACAGCTGTTCTTGCGCAAAAACTGTCTACACCGCATGCACGTTCTTGTGCAAGTAAATTTACAGTATAGCGTAGGAAAACAGGGCTTCTTCCGGAAGAGTTATTCCTCTCCCCATGAGGAATAAGCCCTCTTGTGCAAGAGCGCTTCCACAAGAGGGCAGTGTAGACAGGCAACATGAATTTCTTGCACAAGAAGCCCCTATGGTTAAAATGGCCACCAGAGCTTTCTTGCGGAAGAGAGCACCTACACTGCCATGGATGGTCTTGCGCAAAACCACATCTCTTGTGCAAACGCACATGGCAATGTGGACACGCTCTTGTGGAAGATTTTTTGAACAAGAACTCTTCTGCAAAACAGTTCTTGTGCAAAAAGCCTGCAGTGTAGATGTAGACGTATAGTTAAAGCAGCAATGCCTCTAGGATACACACATATATACTTGTATATATACACACTTGAATATATATACACTTGTATATATACTTGTATATATGCACACACATTTATACATAGTTAAAGGGGACTATATTGGTACCGCTTATTCCAACTGAGGAACTAAAATAAGCAACACAGATGTAAAGTGCCTTTACCCCAGTATAATTTCTCCTACACTATGACTTTTACCAGTATAACTATGCCAGCAAAATGTCTGACCCCTAGCCAACAAACTAAAGCTTTTAAGAGAAGACCAGCCCTGCTATTGGTAGGTAGACAGATCCAGCTATGTCTACACTTGCAGAATTTTTGCATTGTGCTTCACTGGTGATAGGGAGGTGGTGTAAAACAAGCTCTGGTTTGGGTACCTACTTCAACAGGTGTCAGAGAGTGGTTATCTTGGAGCACTTGCAGGCAGCTATCCAACAGCCCATCTCTCTCCATTTTGATGACAGAACTTGTGAGAAGGGGATGTGCGATCCTGGGTCACCACACAGCCCTCGTCTCCTCTAACACTGATCAGCTCCAGTAGCTCAGCATTGCTCCACACAAGGGATCTTTTGCCCCCATGGAGCAGCCATTGTCACCTGACTGGGCGAGCGCTTGCAAAGAAAACAGGAAGAGGAGTTTCAAAGTTGCCAGGGTTTTACAGGGAGGGGGAGGCAGACCTGGCATGAAGCAAGCAGATCTACTGGCCAGAGTGGTCAGCTTGGTACTATGGGATATTCTGCAAAGGCTAAACGCTCTGTAAGCAGGAAGCATCTTCACTAACACATCACCAGTAATAGTTGTATGCCTCTTGTGGGGGCGGGTCTTCTTTTTGCAGTGAAACCTCTGACTTTCAGCCCAGAAAGCGAGTGGAGGAGCAACCGTGGCTTTTGTGCAAAAATAGGGTCTTGTTGGTGCTTTAAACGTAGACATGCCCGAATTGTCATTGCAAAGGAAAGGAAAGTTCACTTAGATTTGTCTGACCCTGGGACTTCTTTGTGTTTTTCCCTCACCGTGTGACTTGCCCCATTTTTCGTCTGAATAAACAACCAGCCACAATGAGCGTATACGTGTGACGCATCCAGATGATTTATGGAATAATTCGACCCATTCTTCTAGGGGCTGCCTTTTACGTGGCTGCCTTCTCAAGGTTGCCGCACTAATGTATAAACACGTGGCCAGAGGCAGCCCACTGTTCCGGGGCCCCTTTTTGCAAAACAGCCTTTGCTTCATGGTTATTTCTTTTAGGAGAAGAGAAAAGGCGTACGGCGCCGGAACGCTTTTGAAGGCAAAGATTATAAACTGCTGACGCATTGGCTCTCCAATGATTTTGTGGACATGACTTTTCCAGAGGTTTGCCGGTGGGTAGAACAGAAATCCCTGTTTCTCGCCTCCTTCTCTTGTCGGGTTTGTCTACACATGCAGTTTAATCCAGAGTACGGGAGGCTGTGAATTAACTGTTCCTATCAACTTCGTACGTTGGAAGCTCTTATTCCAGAACAAAAGTGTCAGCTCTAGAGTTAATTAGGAATAGCAATTCTGTAATAATTCCCAGTGTAGACAAGCTATTAGGACCTTCATATGATTTTGCTTAATTCATTTCCAAAGTAAATTAACAGTGTGATTGAAGGTCGCTTTAAATCAGAATAAAGGAGCCTACGCAGGGACGTGCTGCAATTTAACACTTTCCTTTCTCTAGGTTGTGCTTTGTGAAGCTGGACCTTGTACTGCTGGCTGTTGAATTCAGATCAGGCATCCATGGAAACAGGTGAGCAGTGAAGCTGCTGATCCATTTCTCAAGGCAGCTACCACTCCTACACCGCCTTGGATGGAATTCATCCCGGGACAGAGCGCTAGCACAGCACGGCATACCTCTGGCTTCAGCCTGGGTTGAAGACCTATGTGAGATACGGCTTTGAGATGAGTGAATGAAAAGGAATTAATTTCACCACAAAGGATTAGTTTCCTCCATTCCCTTTTCACCTCCAAGATGATCACTGGAATGGCAAATGAGCTAGATTTCAGTGTGCACCCCAGTACTGCAGGGACTGTCCATTCCCCAGAGAAGAATGAATCTGGGCAATTCTTTTCCCCATAGCCCTCTCAAATCTTCCAGATAGATCTCAAAGCTCTTTACCAGGGAGGTCAGGATCATTACCTGTCTTTTTATGGATGGGTAAACTGAGGCAGCGATGTGCCGTGGCACACCCCAGCTCATGCAGAGGCAGAGTTGGGAATGGATCCCAGATCTCACCATCTTGTACTCAAGCTACTCCAGGCAGAGCCGGCCCAAGCTACGGGCTCACCGGGCTACCACTTGGGATGCCCCATTGTAGGGGGCACCGCGCGGGGCTGCCGGACCGAGCGGGGGTAGGGCCGCACATGCACCGGGCGCCCGGGGGTGGGGCTGTGCATGTGCTGCACTCCTGGGGACAGTGCCGCACTGCCGGGGCCCGGGGCGCACGAATGGCTCAGGCCAGCCCTGACTACAGGTTGAACTTCTCTGATCCGAGACGCCCTGGTTCGATACCATCCAGGGTCCAGCAGAACCATGGATGTTGCTGAACCAGAGAGCCCCTGGACCAGAGATCCCCTGCATCCTAGACCACCCCATCCCAGGGAGCCAAGGGATTTTTTTAACATTGCAGGGGAAGAACAATCCCCTGCATCAGTGTAGCCCACTCTTGCTTGACATAAAGGTCCTTTCTCCAGCCAGTACAAGACCCTGGCACCATGGATGTGACCACAGAGAGAGGAAGGCACATGAAAACCGGAAGTGCTCAGCCATTTAGGCTAGGGATGTAAACATGTAGTTGATTAACCGATTAACTGAGTAGCAAAAGCTTATCGGTTAATGTTATCGACTACACGCATTTCCCCCTACCCTCGCTAGTACATTCTTAGCAGGCTGGCCAGCAGCTTGGCTCAGTCCCAGCTTGCACCTGGTCCAGGACCTATCCCTGCTGCCGCTTTGTATTGAAAGTGTATTAGGAGCCAGGTGGGCAGGCAGCCCGGCTCAGTTCTGGCTCATGCCAGGTCCTGGAGCAAAGACCTTCCTGCCCTGGACAGGGGCTGCTGCCACTGTATCAGAGGCAGCAGCGCAGGGTGATAGGAAGCCGGCCCCTGAGGGGAGATGGTTTTGAAACTCGTGGACAAGCTCCTCCCAGCACCGCACACTGCTGCCTCTGATACCGAGGCAGCAGTTCAGAGTGGCAGGGGGCTCCCTGCGCATGGAAACAGAGTGAACTGGCTGCGGCCCCGCCCCCGGGGACTATAAAATAGTCCAGTAACCAATAAGAATTCAGGAGGTTAATCGACTATTCAATGAACCCCTATTTAACTTCCCTGGTTTAGGCCTCACTTCATGGTCTTAACTGCAATCTCCTGTGCAAACTGCAAACGTCTCACCTCGATTTGGGATGACCTGGTTCTTTCCTGTGCAAACTGCAAACGTCTCACCTCGATTTGGGATGACCCAGCTCAAGCTGAGCCTGGTTCTCTCCGTGACGAATAGGAACCCTTCCCTAGGCTTTACCCTCAGGAGTTAACGGCTCCTAAATGCCACAACATGTGGTCACAAAGGTCTAATCCGTCAGTGCGGACAGCAGACGTTGCTAAAATCTGAAGCTGATCTGAGCCCAAGGCAAATAATAGTCCCTAACTTCTCTAATGATGAAATGTAAGACACCCGAGACCTGGTGCTATAGATTTTAGAAAACGCTGCAAAATTATCCAGAAACCAGCACTTTACCGAGTGCAGTTATTTTTTTCTGCCTTTGTAAATGAAGTGTCTGCCTGCCTTGGGGAGAAAACTGAGAACCTGAAAAGGAAAACTAACAAAACAAAGGAAGAGAAGAGAGAGAAAACTGCTAAAGATCCCACAGGGCTGATTTCCAGAGGTGGTGAAAGCTCACGACCATGAATTCAGTGAAAGTCATGGGGTGATTAGCTCC